ATTCCCCAGCCAGCATGGCTGACTGGGGAATTCTGGGAGTTGAAGTCCACACATCTTCAAGCATCAGGGTTGAGAAACACTGTGTCAGAGCATAGCACTGCCTTTTCTGCCCTTCATTTACACAAGAATCATAGGGCAAGATTGGGCAACATGTATTTCTCCAGAAAGCAGATTTTAACCCTTATTCTGTTTTAATGGCCATTTCACTTGGAATGTATAGAAGTTAAATAATACTTGGAGAGGAGCATGCATTGCCCATGAAAGTGGGGAAAAAACATGAAATGCAATTAATATTACATTACTTTTATGATGCTTCAGTCAAATGAATTTAATAAATTAAAAGAACTATTAGTTGACCTTTTGAAACAACCAAAATCAGCTGACTCTGTTGCCTCATTCTTTTGAATGGTAAGCTATATCTGCTATATATGAAGTACCATTGCCTTGTTGGCAGTTAGCTCTCATCTTAAAAATACCATGAAACCTATCATTTCCAGATCGGTAGGCTGAATCCAGTTTTCTGTGTAAAACAGTGAATGGAACTGTGGACAGTTTTCTAGTTTCTTAAATGCCCATGATACAGATAACTCATGAAAAGTTGTGAATATTTGGTTTTTTGAGAAATATATTACAATTTGATAATACTTTCTTTTTAATCTTACACAAACAGGTGGCTTCAGAAAAAGGAAACATGACAGTTTTCCACATGGTCATAGGAGGGAAGAAAAAGACAGCATTAACTTTTCTTCATCTGTGATGACATCCTTCAGGAGTAAGTAATTTTAGAGGCATGAAGTTGTGGCTCACATATGTGAACTGATTACCTTGTCTCCATGCAGTTCCTCTTAAGCTATGATAGAAACATTCTGCACCATTTCTATAGTACAGTACTGTATTTGCAGACGTGGTTCCAGATGTCTCTGTGTATTGACTGCTTCATATTGTGAGTACTTCCATAAAAATTGGGAATTGCACTGCTTCTTTTCTCTATGCGTGTGAACTGGATATGATTGTTTAAATGTTTAAGTCAGAATTTTTGCAAAACGAATGAAGCTTATTAAACTATTTAGCAAACTATTAACATTTTAAACAGTAAAATTGTATTTAAATAAAGGATTAGAATTTATCTTAGTAGCCTTGTGAGTTTCTTAGAACACAAGAAGTCTGCTTTTGAACAGCTGTATGTTCTGTTGAGCTTGCACGTTCATATCTGTATTTCTAATATTGTTCCTTTATGCTTACCTGCATTCTTTTTCAGTATTTCAGCTGGAACTTGATACAAGACATGATAAATATGAGAGGCTTGTGAAACTTAGTCGTGACATAACTATTGAAAGTAAAAGGACCATATTCTTACTGCATAGAATTACCAAGTGGGTATCCTGTAATACTTAACATAAAACAAAGAGTTAGGGATGAAGGGAAGAAACTTTCTTCTGTATATTTTCAGACATACAGCAGGCCAACATTTTATTCCCTGACTTTATTTTTGGATGAGGGTTTCATCCCTTCCCCAACAGTGGTCAGTATTCTACTAAACATACTAATGGAGTGTTTTTTCTAAAAAAAATTAAAATTCATGCAAATCTTATCATCATTTATTCAAACCTTATCATTACATCATTTCATTCTTGTGTATGGATGGTGCTCTTGGAATATGTTATCTCTGATTTTGGAAAAAGAGGGAATGATGTTAATTCTCTTTCCCATTATTATAACTTATATGAGCTTTGGTATAGATCAAAACTGCACTTTCAAGATAATGCTATTATTTTGATTAGTATTTGGAATAACTAATAGATTGTTTTTAAAGTCATATGCATAACATTATTTAGAAGCAGCTTTTCTCCACTGAATTACTGTGGTAGTAATAGAAAATAGTAGCCGAAGTTTATACTGTAAAGGACAGCTACTCTCTGTTAATCCCAAGCATGTTTGCCAAGTGGTCTAACTCTTCATTAGAGAGACTTGGTTTATATATAGACAGATGCTTATTGTGGTGTTTGAAAAGGATGAATGTGATGCGTTTAAAGCAAACAGAGAATGGTCTTTGCATAGTATATATCTTATTGCTTCTTTGCTGTTGTTTTAACAATGGTCACTTTTTAATTTGATTGTATTCTGTGATTACAGTGCTTCCAATGTAGAAGAAATACTGACAGAATCTGAAGTCAAACTAGATCTTGTGAGACAGAAGATAAAACAAGTAGCACAAGAATTGATGGGAGAGGATGTGTATCAATACCATAGAGCTATTTCTCCAGGTATGTGTAAGAAATAAAAACAAAGCAAATGAAACTTGCAAGAGGGGTAATTCTAGATATTTCATCAGTCCTGATTTTATTCCATCAGGTAACATACTGATGACAGCTTTTGATTCTGTTACCCAGGGATAATGTTTGTTTTGATTGCCTTAAAATATTTGGATATAGGAATTTATTATATTGAACTAGGGAGAGACTTTGCATTGTACAGAAATCAGCTGGAATTGTTCTGTGCTAGCTAATTATTGGGTTACATTAATAATTTAATTTCTGCTGGTACTTACTTTATGTTGTCTAGTCCAAGAGCTGCAAAAACCAGAATATTTATTTAATTATTTAAAAGATTTAAATGACTGCCCATCTTATAAAACAGAACTCTGGGCAGCTCACAACAATAATAAAAACCACAGCGGTAATAAAAAAACCAAAGACAGTAAAACCAGGCATCTGACCTACAGTCTCCAGTCCAACAAACAATGCAGTCCTCAGGCTCCAGCCACACCCTATCCCAGTGACTTGGGGAAAAGCTGACCCTTTATGGCCTTCTGGAAGGCTAAAAGTGTGGGAGCCTGTCGGATCCCAGGGGGGAAGGTGTTCCACATGGTAGGGGCTGGTATGGAAAAGGCATGCTTCCTGAGTCCCACCAGATTTATGGGGTGGGACCTGGAGCATGCCTACCCTATTTAGCCTGATGGGACAAGCAGATACCCTCAGGGAGAGCTGGTCCTACAGATAACCTGGCCTCATGCCATGTAGGACTTTAAAGGTAATAGACAAGACCTTGCATTGCATCTGGAAAGAAACCAGGAACCCAGAGCCACTCTATCTTGCTAGGGTTCAGTTGGAGACAGTTTCTCCCCATCATCCTCACAGCTTCCAGGAACTGGGTCAGCAATGCCACCTTGGGTGGAGATATGTAACTGGGTATCATCAGTATACTGATGGTACTGTACTGTGTGCGCTGAACAGCCTCACCCAGCGGTTTCATGTAGATGTTAAAGTGGAATGGTGAGAGACCCGAGCCCTGAGGCACCCTGCACTGCAGGGGCCTAGGGCTTGACCTCTCTCCCCTCCCCAAAACTGAGTGTAACCAGCCATGGAGGAAGGAGGAGAACCACAGCAAAACAGTGCTTTCCACTCCCAGTCCCCAAAGCCAGTCCAAAAGATACCATGGTTGGATACTATGCCTTTTTGCAACTGAGCAAATTGTAACACAGTATAAAAATCAAGTGATTATTATGAAAGATAAGGCTGTGCAGAATAATCCATGGGAAAAAAGCCAGATGAGTGAATTCTAGGATATCCTTCTGTGAACCTGTGTAACAGCAAAAGCATCATACTTCTGTTGACATCAGTTGATACAAACATTTGATCCTAATCTAGGGACCTTCCAGGGAAACTAATTAAAAAGTAGAGTGATAAATCTGAAGCTCTCTGTGGGAGAAGCTGCAGAAGAACACTACATGGTTTCATAGTTTTACAGCTTCCACAAGTGGATTTATTTGATCAAGGAGAGCAAGTGTTTTTATAAGAAATAAATATGTAGACATTAAGGTGATTTAGCTGTTCACCTGTTCAATGCTACAAAAGGAAAGGGCTTCTCACAAATAAAAGCCAGATCCTGGGTCTGCACACAATTACTAATCACACAACAATTATTTCAGTTTGCTTTATATTTTTAACTTTGTAAACTACCTAAATTGGAAATGGGTTCAGCCAATACCAAAAAAATAAAAATACAGCAGGTCACCATAGTCAAGTCTCAATAAAGTACCAGGACTGCTACTTTTATACTTGGTGGAAAATAGTATAGTTAAATGTTGTCAATATGTAGCTTCTCACAGTATCTCTTACTAATTTAGTGATACTGTTAAATACTAGCACTTTATAATAAAATTCTAGGGTGTTCACTTAGTTCTTCTTCAGGAGTAGAAGGGCAATTTTCCCAAATTAATCTGTGTGAACGATTCAGCAATGCAATTATTCTAATACTTGGAATCTGTACAAAGTGCTTCTTCAAATACTTTTGCAGGATTTGATGAACAGCTGTATTATAATAATTAATAGATTCAGAAATAGGGAAATATCACCTCTGTATCAGTCTCAAACTACTAACATGATCTTAATTCCACACTGAGCAAAATCATGGCATTTCACAGAAATTCTTAGAAAAATACATTTGGGAAAGCACGATAAGGTACTAATTATCCAAACTGCCAGAACTAAATGAGTCTGATATTTACTTTGGAAAGCAGTAGAGTGCTTACAATAAATCCAAGGGTTTGTAGGCAGAGGTTAAAAGGTCACATTGTTAAGCAGTTTTTCAGGCCACAAGGCAGTATCATAGAAACTGACAGCGATTCAAGAAATGTGGCAAGAAGTTACTATTGGTACCTCTGTATTTGGTGTTTCGTATGTAACTTGTGCTCCCATATAGGAAGTTTTAGCTACAAATTTTAATCACAGGTAGATCAAGTAAGTTGATACTGATGAATGAATACCCAGAAGTCTAGGGACATAATTGATTTCTACTCAAACAGCTTGTAGGTAGAGTGCAGATTACTGCAGTGTCGCATAATTCTGTGTGTGTACACTTATCACTGTGCATCATACAAGATACAAGGCTCTTGCTGCAGACTTGAAATCTAATAAAACAGGACTCATGAGAGAAGGGGAACTGGAGAAGAAAAACAACAATATGCCAGATGTCAACTAGAAGTAGGCAAGGAAGACCATAAACAAATGAATAAGTAGATGAATTTTTATGTCTTATTTAATTTAAAAAAAAAAAAACAGATCACTAGGGAAAGATTGTTATAGGCCTGTGAGGTATTAAAGTAGAAGCCATAAAGTAAGAAATATAGTAGGACTTGGAAGATGAGGCTTAAAAATACTGATATTTTAGGATGAAACATATAGCAGGAAAATACAGACATTTAAAAAATGAAGTTTGTGCTTTAACACCTAGGACTATGTAACTGAAAGCAACTTGTTTTGCTGCTACTCATAGTAATTCAGTTTAATAGAATGTACTACCAGGTCCTAACATAATTCATTGGTTTTCCACCTGAGTTTTTCATAGCCCATTGAGGCCCTTTACAGGTACTTCCCAATGAATAGTCTGCTTACAATTGTATTTTGACATAAAACTATAAATTAGTCCTCAGTCTTTCATCAGAGTTGCAACATGTCAGACAGCATGTGAAAATTCAAGAGATTCAGCCCAGGGATCAAAGACTTCACTTAGACCAGGATGAGATAGACAGTTTCACAATAAGATTATCATCAAAGTTGTTCCAACCAGGAATTTGCTTTTTGAGGCAGTCTTAAATACCAGTGTCTTGCACTACCCATCTAGATGCCGTTGAAGCTATGCAGCCTTAATTTGCTAGGATCCATATCTGCAAAGTTTCAGCTGTTGTCAGCTTTCCCTGTTAATGGCTGTTGCTTTGCTAGCTTCTGGCTTTCTCCTTTGTTTCTGTACGTGTTTCCAATTTCAGGTCAGTGGTCTGTATTGGGTTTGGGAATGGAGATGCCCACATTTGGTCTTTCAGTGCTGGTATGATGTTTAGTTTATCAGGCTCTGAATTGCTAGGTTCATTACCTTGCTCCTCTTGTGAGAAAGACAATGTGTCCTAATGGTGCTCTAGTTACTGTCCTTTATCTTTCAGATATTTTAGTTACTTGGAAAAGACAAAAGAGAACATTGAGAATCAGTTATATTAGTAGACAAGGTCAAAGGAACTCATTTGGAACTGATAGTGACATCTAAAGATGAATCCCCCACAATGTTTGAGTGGGGAGAAAAGGGCCAGTATCTGCCATTACATTATGTAAAAAGTATTAACGAGATACAGGCTTTTATTGGTTTAAGCATTCATTTGTTGTAATATTACAATACATTTGTATTTTAATGCTTAGTTGCTGTTGAGTTAGGCTTGACTCCTGATTCCTGTATGGACAAATGCTCACCATTTTCATATCTTTTTTTAAATACTTGGTTTTATTTCTTCCATCTCCAATAGGGTCATTTGCAAAAATCCAGAAGATCACTAGATACAGGTAGTCCTTGACTTATGACCACAATAGGAACTGGAAAATTTGTTGTTAAGTGGTGCAATCTTTAAGTGAGTCATCACATGATGACCTGATTTTATGACCTTTTTGCCACAGTCATTAAATGAATATGTGGTCGTTAAGTGAGACATCACGTGACTGTGACTTGTGACCTTCCCTGCCCCTTCCCCATTGACCTTGCTTGTTGAAAGCTGGCTGGGAAGGTTGCAAATAGTGATCACATGACCACAGGAAGCTGCACCCGTTGTAAATGTACAACAGTTGGCCAGCGCCTGAACCATAATCATGTGACTGTGGGGACCTGCAATGGTCTTAAGTGTGAGGACCAGTCATAAGCGCCGTTGTAATTTCAAACGGTTGCTACATGAATGGTCATAAGTCGAGGTCTACCTGTAACAGCATAGAGTAACAATTTTCTGTATGCCATCTAATGGTTATCTGTATGTTTGTAGCCTATATATGGTAGCCCAGTCCACATATAAAGTGCCTGTGCATGCTTACAGTGTGGTATCCTTAAACAGGCATAAATATTTTATTAAGTTCAAAGAAATCCAAGAAGTATGTCTCACAATCATGTTGTCCTGTTGTTTTTAGATTTCCTAGAATGTTTTTCACTGGAGCCAGCAATGTAATATCCTCCTTCCTTTCAAATAGTTCAAAGGGCACAGTATTCAAACTATACGTTTTGTTGCTGAAATTATTTTGAGGGCCATCTGAAGCATTGAAAAGGTTCTATTTTGTATTCTTTGCAAGCAACAGCTGCAGCTTTTTGGAAAATAAGCATTTAAAGGTTTGATTTCGGAAGTCTTAGGGCCAACTTTTAATGAATAGTGTCTGAACTTTTAATGGTCAGCAACTGTAGCAAGACCATATTGGACTTCAGATATTTTGTATAGTATGTTACCCATTTTATGGTATGACAG